GGTTCTCCAAAAAGCCTTCACTATAATCAAATCATATGTGCGGGTAGTCTGGCTGTCAGTAGGAACTGAGTTGCTTGACCATCATAACACGAAATCAACGGGAGAGTCCAGTATATATATATATATATATATATATATATATATATATATATATATATATATATATATCACGGTGAAATAACGATCATCGAAGTTGAGTAACGTCGAGTCTCGTCACTACCTACATGAGTGACCTCTTGGGAATACCAGGAGCTGTAAGCTTAGATGTGTGCGGGTGGTATAACAGATGATTGCTTGAAACCGTCGCTTAATAGAATCAACAAACAACATATTTCGGATCACTTTCGGAATTTACCGTACACATTTAAAATTGAACCATTTATATTTAAATATGATCCAGAAACCGGATAAATCACCCGAAATATAGAAAAAACAAAATTAAAAAAATCATGAGCAAAGAGTTTTTGTTGGTTTTCAGCCAAAATTATATATATATATATATATATATATATATATATATATATATATATATATATGAGACTCGGTTCGAATCTCAATATGGTCTATTTATTAGGATGTTTATATTTATCATTTGTTTACATTTGGATACGCATCGAGCAGATATGAGTGTACGAGAGAAAATCATGGAGAATTGTAGTTTAAAAACAGTAAAATCGACCTTTCTAACCGAAACGCTCCTCTGTGGCCAAATCGGTAAAGCACGTCAGGCTATGTGACGGTTCAGTATAGGATACAGGTTCGATTCCTGTCGGAGGATGCATATATTCAATGAAAAATTCTTGGACATTAAGGTCGATAAATTTTAATACTGTTTATTATAAACAAAGCATTTACTTAAATATTTGTATCTATAAAAAGAACGTATAATAATAAAAAAAATGTCTTAAAATAATTGCCAGACTTTGTCCATTTCATAATATATATATATATATATATATATATATATATATATATATATATATATATATATATATATATATATACCGGTTGTAACAGCAAAATTGTTCAGATCGTATGCCAGGATAATTTTCCATCAAAACATTTTTTAATATCTAAAAAAAAAAAAATCACTAAACAAGTTGAGTTTCTTTTTTCCAGGTGTTTAGATAAGCTTTTTAGCCATCTGGACACCATTTGTTGTACGAATCAATAAAAAAAAACCCTTTGATTTATTCAGCTATAAAAAGAATAGTTTAAAATCGTTTTGTGTCAGCCCCACCATTTCTTCCCAACTAAGCAATGGTGTCAGGAAAAAGATCATTGTGGCCTTCAGTAATGGTAACAATATTCATACTCTGGTTTACATCTTCCAATCTATTCAAGAACCATCAAGAGAACGGTGAATAAATTTTAAAAAGAGGAAACAGTAGAGAGGGAAACTTGATCAGATGGCCACGACCGGACGAGGGATCAGCATTTCAATAGAGCTAAAGAGATCTATTAGAAAAGATCCAACTCAGTCCATAAGATGTTTGGCATGGGCGATTCACATATGACAGTCACCTCTGACAGTTATTATACAGGGTGGTCTGAACGTCTTGTCACCACCTACCAAAGAAAGTAATGCGAACAATAGAACAAGTAATACAGTTAATACAAAGCACATGTACTAGATTCAGTTTATTCACTTTCATTGACTCTGTCACTCATCCAGAAGGTCTGTATGAACATCATCATTTTCCTGGCACAAAATGATGCGGCGCCATGTCCTGTTGATTCCTACAACAGCGTCCGTCAATTGATAGGTATTCTGGCATCGTTCACATGAGACTCTCACCTTGATAATAACCCGTAGAGGGTTGAAATAGAAAATTATATTATGTAGAGTGACAAGACTTTCGGACCACGCCGTACATCGGACACTGTTTTCTCAACATCGGCAATTAATCTGTAATACCTTCGACTTTATGATTCATTATCAAGTACACCATAACATTTTTGTGGAAAGCCAAGATTCAAATTAATCCAAAGTGACGTTATATAAAAAAAATTATACGGAGCCGTCTGTACCCATGAAAAATATATCGCATATTTATACGTATCATAATTATTTCATAGGAATATTAAATATTTTACATGCGCTTTAAGATGAAAGATACCGTATTTGACGGCATAGAAGTCGCACTGGTGTATAAAACGAATCCCAATTTCAGCAGAGTAAATCAAGAAAAAAATAGTCATTATTAAAATTATTACAGCTTAGGCTATATTTATGAGGTAATATTTGTATATTTTTTATGATTACAATTGAGCGAAAAATAATGGAAAAAAGAACATGAGCCTATAAAAACTTTTATCATATCCTTTATATGATCTGTACAACCTGCCTTGTGTAAACATCTTATTGGAACAATTTCGATATAAAAATTCTGATTGTGTTTATACCAATGCAACCGGAAGTTACCGCAAGAAAAATATTAACGAAACAAATATATTTTACAAATATATAATTTGAATTTATTGAATATAATTTTAGTGAAACGAAGTACAATATTAAACGTGGTGAAATTAATAATAATAATATTATCAATGATAACACTTTTAATCTGCATAAAAACCTTTTAAATGATGACAATAAGTATATAAAAGGTACTCTAAAGTCTAAGCTAATATGAGTTGCCAGGTAGATAATTTCGGCCGACTATCGCGAATTTTAAAACTACATATGGCATATAAGACGCAGGGGAATTTTAAAAGATATTTTTAGTAAAAAAAAAAGTACACCTTATATGCCGTCAAATATGGTTTATTTCTTCTTCATAAATTTGAACCTAATGTACAACATCTTTTAAAATGGGGAAAATGCAATAACAATGAAACAATTATATATGTAGAGGGGTTCTGTGTGTGTGTGTATGTGTTTGTGTGTGTGTGTGTGTCTGTGTATGTGCGTGTCATTTGTGTGTGTATGTTCTCTCTTACTGTGTGTGCGTGTGTAGGTCTGTTTAAATCCGAAGCAACCAAATTCAACTGAAGCATAGATAGATAGATAGATAGATAGATATAGATAATGATATATATCCAGCAAACAATAATAATTGTTGTCATATTTCCTTGTATTCAATCGGGTAAATTCCTTCCTTGAGGCTTTGTATTGTCTTCATCTTCAACGGTACAATTTTAATCCAAATTGGTCGTCGGGCGAGATGTCGTTCTCTGGGTACTCCATCCAGGTGAATATCAGTATAGGTACATTACTACATTTGCATAAAAATGCATATCTATCCATATACTTATATATATATATGTGTGTGTGTGTTCGCGCGCGTGTGTGTGTGAGTGTGTGTGTTAGCGTGCATATGTATGCGTTTTCATTTTTGTTTCAAAATTAACATAAGCGAATTGTCTCTAGATTGATGCAAACTTTGTATGAAAAGAAAACTTCACCGAAAACCGTGTTTATAAATGAAGAATAGTAAAACAACAACAACAAAAAAAAAAACATGTGAAATTGACTTAAAATATTTGCATTCGTATCATAAGTTTTATATATTTTTCTATTCTTTTTCACTCACAGTAACACCTTGTGTCTTAGTGGCATTATCGCCTTACTTTCGCCTTTTTTATCGCCTTTGATTAAATAAAATATAAGTATTTATATGCATGCATGTATGTCGGTGAGAAATTCTCTTGCAAACAAAATATTTTCTAGATTCTATGTAAAAGTATTATTCATTAGTATTTCATATTATTTCATGTGTATTTTTGTGGTAATATACATTTGTAATAAGCTTAATAGAGCGTGGTACAAGGCATCAAATGGTGAGAACTGAGGGACTATTGCATCTCGTGAATCAAAAGTTAAATAGTTGATCCAAGTCAAGCAGAAATAAAAAGCTGTGTATGTGTTTAGAGTGGGTGCAGGTAGGAACGATTGTATATATATATATATATATATATATATATATATATATGTGTGTGTGTGTGTGTGTGTGTGTGTGTATGTATGTATATATATGCGTATGTGTCTGTGTTAGTGTATGCGTGCGTTACGGACACAATAAATATCAGCATATGGTAAAATGATACCGGTTTTAATATGAAAATTGACACTCAGTCACACACAACATATACACAAATATATATATATATATATATATATATATATATGTGTGTGTGTGTGTGTGTGTGTGTGTGTGTGTGTGTGTGTGTGCGAATAAAGACAAAAGGTATACGCGTTTCGTGCTCTTAATATATATATATATATATATATATATATATATATATTTGTATGGTCATCCACAGGCAGGCTGTTTCACAGTATAACAGCTCATCAGTGTAGCTAGAAGTCCGGTTACCTCTAAGCTAGGATCGAAACCCGGCTGAATTGGCGTCGGTCGAAGATCCTACTCCTAAGCCGTTGAATGTGTGTATGTATATATATATATATATATGTGTGTGTGTGTGTGTGTGTGTGTGTGTGTGTGTGTGTGTGTGTGTGTGTGTGTGTATATATATATATATATATATATATATATATATATATATATATATATATATATTTATATATATATAAGTGTGTCTGTGATTATGTGTGCGTGATAACTAGGTTTTATAGTTCTTATGTGAAATGTTCCCTGTATATTGTTCTATCGATCTATTAGATTAAGAGATAATACTTGATAAGGTGCATTGGCAAAGAATACGATTATGCTGAAAATATATATTTCTTACATAGAATAAATGATTCTTGCATCAATTTGGCTATGGACTTATTGATGTACTAGAGTCTACTTAGGGAGAAATTAAAATTGAAAGAAAACCTAAATGCATAAGTTGAAATATACATAGTTTTCACTTTTAGCCTTTTTTTATAATAAAAATGCCTGAATGAATAATAATTAATAATTTAGAAAAAATCTTCGGTTTTACCGCAAAAAATTAGAATGTCAAAAATCAACCACTCCCGTTAATTTACCTTGTGTGTCTGCATAGGTGAAAATATTTGTGTTCAAGGATAATTTTGACGATGTTGTAAAATGCTTATTTTGGCGATGCTTAACGTATTCGTCTCTGGTGGCTGCAATGAATTTGTACAGTAATCTCACTCCATTCTTGCGCGTTTGTTTTTTTTTTTTTTAAATATCCACTGCGTTCGGTATCGAAATAATGTAGCGCTCACGGGGTGGGAAGGAGGCCGGCGTTGACGCGTGCCGAGACGTGTGCCGTTTTTAAAGCAATCGTATGTGAGTTTTTTGTTCAACCTCGGCGAAAGTTTTTATAGCAGTCGACCTTCCAAGCACATCAGGCCTAACAAGCTTTCTTTCTTTCTTTCTTTCTTTCTTTCTTTGTCTTGCTCCGTTAAATATTTGAACAATCATTTGCCACGTGTATAAAGAAATACAAAAAACAAAAAAAAATAAAAGAAAGACAAAAAACAAAAAAAATAAAAGAAAGACCAAAAACAAAAAAAAATAAAAGAAAGACAAAAAAAAAAGGTATCCTTTTTATTGAAATCTCTTCCACCCCCATCTTCCATGACAATGGCGACACATACATACAGACGCACATATACACGCACGCACATATGCACAAGCAGGTATACGCACACATACACGTATACGCACACATACACGTATACGCGAAGAAAAAAATGAATGAATAAACGAGCTTAAATGTTTGCTTTCCGACTATCGGAAATGAATTCGAATCTCACCATGTTCGTTCGGGAAAGGGGTTGCTTAATGTTTTCGACCTTTGGAAAGTACCTGAAATTTTTACTTTTCAATCCCTTTGAGTACAGGTGAGTAGACGCCATGGTTCGCTTCGATGTCTTTTTGTCAGCCCAAAGTCACAAGTCATCTCGAGAGTTTGTGCGAACATTGACAAGACAAATGTAAGGATTGTATTTTGTATCAAGTATTTATAAACAGAAATAAAAATATCGTCAGATTTTCAAAATTCTTGAATGCTCATAAATTTTCTTCTGGTTTCTGGCTAACTGTAAAAGTCAAGATAAACTATGGGAGACGTTAAGTGATATTAATTCATGTATTTTAATGCCAATAAATGAAAGTGAGTAAATATGTTCTTGTTACTGAGATTTTTTTAAATTATTATTTTGTTTTAGATTAAATTAATTTATGTTTTTAAGTTTTAGAGAAATTAATTTATGTATTTAATTACGTTAAATAACCGTCCTGGGTAAGACGATAAACTACATCCGTGTCATGGATAAGACGATAGACTACAACTGACAGCAAGGCTTCTGATCAGGAGGTTTTGAGGAGCGTGGAACCACCTCATGTTCCCAGGTCCGCCCTGACTCGGGTTGGTGGCGTCTGTTGGGGTAGCAGCTGTGGATAAATGGTTAACCTCAAATTGGGATAAAAACACTATGAAAGGGTAAAGATGGGTTTTAATACCAGCAATGCATTTTTGTAAAAAAAAAAATTATTACAAGCAATGAATGTTTGAGGAAAAATTATTACCAGCAATATATTTAAAAAACAAACAAAGAAACAAACAAAATATTATCAGTAATACATTTTTAAAAAAATTACCAGCAATACATTTTTGAAAAAAATATTACCAGCAATAAAAACCTTTGTCGGCATTAAATAACCCATTAAGGTTGATATGCCGTAAAACAAACCAACCGTAAGCAAACTTTAAATAAAAAAAAGGTTTGATATAACCGTTCCCTGTTAGTTTTTTCAAATATTTTTATGGTCATGTGTGATGACTTGGGAAGAGTATAGCTTTTAGGAAAAAGACATAATTGAAAAAAAAAAACATCGGTGTTAATTATCATTTTTGGTAAATTTCAATAACGACACTATCAAGAAAGTTTCATTTAACTAAGCTATTTTCTCTTTTTATATGTGTGGCATTCTTTAAATTTGTTTATAGATAATTGTTGCAAAATAAAATCCTTTCATTAGACATGATAAAGTCCATCAAAGGACGAAATGTGTCAGTAAAGAAAAGTTTTCATTTTTGTCTTTATTCTATTTGTCTCTTTATCTATGACACTTCAAATTCGACTATGGATAGGCGATACGTCACGTGTGAGTAAGGATCCAGGCGTCCTGTTGTCTTAGATTATATGAGGAAATAAAGAAAAGAACAAAGAATGAAAGGTTTTCAGATAGACTCCCATTTCAACCTGGACTCTTTGTACCTCTAAGTTGAATTTAGAGGCATGAAAGAAAAATATTTCCTAGCGAAAAATTAAATCTATATAATTACATATAATCACAACCAATATAAAAACAGCCTTTTTATCTAAATCTTTATACCTCTGTAAAAACAAGTCATCCCCTCTCTCTCTCTCTCTCTCTACACACACACACACACACACACACACATATATATATATATATATATATATATAGTCATAATTACAAATTATATATCATACATTAAATATGAAGATGCAGGTCCGGCTATCGCCCGGTTCACACACTTCCTCGCTCTTTTGAACAGGATTTGTGCTTTATCCTTTTCTCCCTGTTTCTTCTAAAGACTTTGGTTTCTCTGTCATTCACAATATCCCCGTGCGTCTTAGTGACTCTGTCGCCTTGCTGGGATTATACTGATTAAAAGACATGCTGAATCAGACCAAAATTTGAGTACTGTTGACATATTTGTGTAATCGTGCAACACCCTAGCCGGTCGCCCAAGACTTCCAACACCGCGTCTGATCGATGAAGATCACTTCGATTTCAAGCCTGCCTTATCCCACGTTGTGATTTAAGTTTGATCATAAGGAGGCCGAGATCGAATCGCAGCAGGTATATTCGTGTCGGGCTGCTCCAATCAGGGCGAAGTCGTACAGACAAAAAAGACTGGAATAAATTGAACAAAAAGTAAATACTGTTTTTATATCAGTCCTTCGTTCAATAATTGTTTTATCAAAGTTCGCATGCAATTATCAGCCCAACTCGCGTCTAAATCCGAAGTGATATTGTTGTTAACTTAGTAAAGTTTGGGGGGTCTTATCGACAGGCAATCACGTGGGGTGTATCAAGACTGGTGGCTGGGACGAAATCTCTGCCGTCTCTCTCCTGTCTCCGTCTCCGTCTGACGAATTCGCTTCGCGCATTCGTATTTATTGACATTTGCTCAAACTGGCGTGAGCCACGGTGCATAGGGAGATTTCGGTAAATCCCCTTTTTTGTCAGCTTCATAATTCTGGGGAAATTCCCTTTTTCCACTCTCTCATATTATTACCTCTCACTAAATCTCGTCAGTGAGCGTTTGTGGCTTATCCACCCCCTCCTGTTATGTCAACTCAACTTTCGACCAGGAGAAATCAACCCCAATTTCGTTGATTACGAAAATGAAGTTTTCGCTTTGCAGCTTGCATTTGCAGCTGCGTATAACACATTTCAGTCATCATTGCCCTCTCAGTCTGGGTCATTTTCCATTGTTCAAACCCTCAACACACCAATTCCAGGTGTTATCTATATGGGAATTGAATCGTCAATCTTTTCCCATAGATTTTAGGTATTAAGCCTTGTTGTTCTAAAGTCTTTCAGTATATCGCTCCTTCTATCCATAAGAAAACTTTCCTATGTTTTATCGCTGTAACAACAAACAGTATCACATTTGGACTGGAGCTTCCCACTCCTCACTCGCCTGTCTTGCGCTCAAAGGTTTCAATCCTACCTTTTGGGTGATTAATTCATTTCCACACTATAAACTTTTTTCCCCCAGACGAAATATGGTGAGCCTCTCGATTCTCCATCTCTATTTCCATGGAATGTGATCTGATGAGCTACCGTCCTTAATCTCACCGGTCCTGACGTTTACAACTGAGACGCGATATGCCACGTCCACAAGATTGAATCATCTCCATTTCTTTGGCATACCAAGAGTAAGAAGTTAGTTCCACACGAGCACTAGCTTTCAAAGAACTGCTGCTTTGTGTACAAACTTGACCTCTTCAAGTCAAGGCTTAACCGTTGTTTCCTGCATAAACTCACTTCCAGCCTATTCTTATGTTCATACAACTTTACACAGTAACCTTCTCCCTTGAGTGGCTCTTGGGATTTGTATTGGGTGAACATTAGTATTTTTTGTTTATATGTTATTTTTATAGATACAATTTATTTAAGTAAAACACTGTTTTTTTTTTGTTTTTTTTCTTTTTACTTAAACTATATTAGTTACATTTACCGGCCTGGATATTCGAGAAAATTTCATACAAAATATGCGTTCACCAACAGGAATCGAACCTGTATTCCTATACGGAAAGCGTCATTTTGTTAAATTGTATCTATAAAAATAACGTGTAAACAGAAAATATATTAAGTAATTGTCGGACTCAATCCATTTCATCACATATATATATATATATATATATATATATATATATATATATATATATATATATATGTGTGTGTGTGTGTGTGTGTTGGTAAAGAGTGTATCCAGCTTTTTTACGTTTATTCGTTTTACTGGAAACATCTCGCTATATGAGAGCCCCTGAATATTAAACGTCTCTCTCCTACTATCAACCTCACCTCATTTAATAGAATGGAGCGTTGAAAGTTTTATTAAAAATAAAAATACGCTCGTTCGAATTCCAGCCACGCTCAACATGGCTCGGAATAAACGCTTCTATTCAAAACAACACAAAAGTAACTTACAAATTAAGTAGTCAAAACATGAAGAAAAACTAACAACACCAAAAAAAAAAAGCCAAAAAAAACAAACAAACAAACAAAACAATTGAAAATGGCGAAAAAAAATGGCCGGAAGCGCCTGGGACAATGAAGTTTGTAGAAAATTGTTGTATTCCCTTTATTCCGACCAAATGAAAAGAAACAAAAACAACAACGCTGGAAATACTAAATAAAAAAATTAATCAAATTTTCATTGTCTTCCATATTTCACAAAAAAGATCTGTAATGTCTTTTCTGCTGCCCACATCTTTGTGCGGGTGCCATTTTCTCTTAGATTTGAAAAAGGCGTCCAACATACAATATTTAGGCTATTTAACGAAATTCTGAGGAAGAACCCAGACTTTTTTGCTTATAGGACACACAGACACACACGCGCGCGCACACACACACACACACACACACACACACACACACACATATATATATATATATATATATATATATATATGCACATTTATATACATATTTATCACCCACACAAGACAGACATGCTTGTAGAGGTGTTGAGATCTCACTTATACACAAACACATACTATACACATCATACACACTTCCAAAGAACCAAATGAAAGCATACACTTAACACAAGGACATTCACTTCCCAGGAACCAATAAAACTGTCAAAATGATCGAGTGAATTCATAGCCGCATGAATCTATCCAGGCTCTATCTTAAAATCAACTTAAAAGAGGCCGTTTGACTAACACAAGGACTGACCAAAATTAACGATAAAAAACAAAACAAATGAAAACTACAGATAACGTTTATTTTCTTTAGAAAGTCATTCATTCCTTTAGTTCACTGCTACTAACAAGGTGAATTTTTTTCTCCTGATGATGGCCATGCTGGCCAAAACTAGTCGAGGAACCTAATATAAAAAACAGTGTGTCTGATTTTTTTATATTTTTTAATATATTTTATTGTTCAAAACATATATATATATATATATATATATGGTTTTTCCCTTGACACTGCTATTATTTTAACTACCTTTACTCCTCGGCAATATTTATTAGAAAAGATTATTAGAAATGGAGTAAAACCTAAACATATGATGAAAGTGAATTTATACATTTATTTGTTGAGAATTTATAGCAATAATATTAAACACTATTTATTACCTAGATTGTTTATTTGCAAGAATAATTTTATATTTACAACATTCTAAAAACTAAAACTATTAAAACTAATACAATGAATATATCTATCACTAGCAGTAGAGCCTGGCGTTACCCGGGGATTTAACAGTAAGAGATAGATCAAGTATCGACCATCATAAAGACTGAATAATGAAATTGACAAAGATTATTGTTTAAGGTTGACGGACACGCATGTCTTAATTAGTTTTTTTTTTTTTTTTTTACAAATTGGTCAAACCTAAACTCAAACAAAAACATTGTTTTCAATCGTTATGAGTCTATCAAGTGAATAGAATTTTATTATAAACAATTGTCTTGTAAATGGAATATTTAAAGCATTCTGAATGTAAAAAAAAAAATTGTAAGAAAAAAAAATGTGCAAGATAATAAGAAACACTACCTGCCAAAAAAAAGTGAAGTTTTGTTGAAACCGGTTGAAAATGTAGGAAATCCGATCCCATATATAAACGAACACACACACACACACACACACACACACACACACACACACACACACACACACACACACACAAAACAACCTGGGTTTAATAATAAGTATAACTCGATATGAGTTGTCCCCCTTTCATTCTCGAGATGCCTCTTGATCGTGTTTTCAAACTGATTTCGTGCAAAAACAATTGTGTTTTTCCAATTTTTGGCGCTGTCAGAACCACCGCAAGGTAATTTTACGTAGTCCTGTGAAGTTTTGTTGAAATCGGTTGAAAAATGTAGGAAATCCGATCCAATATATAAACATACAGACACACACACACAACCTGGGTTTTATAATGTATAATTTAACAATTTATAAAGAAATATATAGGAAAACATTTTTTTATTCATAAATTTATCTTTTTCCTCTTCATTAATTACTCTCTCTATATCTATCTATCTATCTATCTATCTATCTCTTTCGTTCTCTTCCTTCTACGCTTCAAAAAACTATTTCGTATCGACTCCTTTTTTCTTCGTTGGTTTCCTTTCTTTGTTTTTATTCTCTATTTCTTTCCTTCTTCTGCATGTTTATATCTATTTCTCTATTCAACCAGTCCTTATACTCATTCTTTTCTTTATTTTCCCCTTTTCTATTCCTTTTTTCTCTCTATTTTACTATCATCTAAGTTAATTAATTTTATTCGCTATCCTTTTCTCGTTGTTCATTCATTCAATTTGTCTTTCCTTTCACTCAGCAATAAAATCCACGATCTTAACATTTCTCTTTCGTTTCCTTCTTTCAAACAATTCATCTTTCATTTCAGCCATTTTTGTTTCGTATTGTTTATTATTGATATTTCTTTCTATAATATTCGTTCATTTTTTTTCTTCTTTAACTTAAATTTTATATGGTACTAGATTACTATTGCTGATGCTGCTTTTCCCATTCCTCATTTTTTTCTTTTTTTAGCTATTTCACTCCCAACAAGGCGATAATGCCACTAAGACGCAATTATTTCTATCCTCTGTTAGGTATAAACTTGAATATATTTTTTTAATTCATTCATTAACTTGTTTTCTTTCTCTCTTTTTTTTTTTTTTTTTGGTTATTTTCTGTTTAATTCTGTCATCTCCTTCACTTTTCTTTCTTTCCCAATTAACTAATTTCCAATTCTCTGGTTTCACTCTCTTTGTTCCAAGTTGGACATTGTATTTTCTATTTTCCCTTTCGTTTGTTTTAATACATTTATTGCTTTTCTATGCATTTCTATCATATTAACTTTCTTTCATTATTTATTACTTTGTCTTTATCTTACCACTTTCATTTTTCCTTCTTTCTTCTTTCTTTCTTTCTTTCTTTCTTTCTTTCTTTCTTGTTTCTTTGCTTGATTGCATGTTTTCTCTCTTTCTTTTTTCGTTCCTAGTTCATTCTCTCTTTCTTTCTTTCTTTCTTTCTTTCTTTCTTTCTTTCTTGTTTATTTGCTTGATTGCATGTTTTCTCTCTTTCTTTCTTTCTTTCTTTCTTTCTTTCTTTCTTTGCTTGATTGCATGTTTTCTCTCTTTCTTTTTTCGTTCCTAGTTCATTCTCTCTTTCTTTCTTTCTTTCTTTCTTTCTTTCTTTCTTGTTTATTTGCTTGATTGCATGTTTTCTCTCTTTCTTTTTTCGTTCCTAGTTCATTCTCTCTTTCTTTCTTTCTTTCTTTCTTTATTGTTTCTTTGCTTGATTGCATGTTTTCTTTCTTTCTTTCTTTCTTTCTTTCTTTCTTTCTTTACTCTTTATTTATCACATCATTTTCCTCTTCCGTTCTTTCTTTATTTGTCTATATTTCATTCTTTCTTTCTTTGTCCTCTTCGTTTTTCTTTGTTTTTTTGCCCTGTAATCTCTTTTATCATTTTACTCTTCATTAATTAACCCCATCTCCCCCTCTCTCTCTCTCTCTCTCTCTCTCTTTCATCTACCCTTGAAAAACTATTTCGTATCGACTCCTTTTCTCTTCGATGGTTTCCTTTCTTTCTTTGTTTTTATTCATTTCTTTCTTCCTTTCTTCTTCATGCTTATATCTATTTCCCTATTCAGCCAGTTCATATACTCATTCTTTTCTTTATTATTTATAAACATTTATTAAATTATTAAAATCTGTGAACCAACTATAAGAAAATCTTTATAATTTCCAATGTTATAAAGTTCGTGTCAATCAGCAATTAGCAAATATTTTTTGCCACATATTACGATAAGCAATGTAATAAATAAAAAAAAAACTTTTTATTTTTGTTATCAATTCTCAAAATCAAAGAAAATGTATAAATCCATATTTTTATGTTTAGGATTATTACAATTCCATTCATCGCTTTTTAAAAGAATAAACCTTACCGAAGTGTAGTAAAAATAATGGCGGTGTAAAAGAAGAAACCGTCCTTTTGACAATCAGATTTTGTTTTTTTTTGCGAGCACAAATGTCCAGCTTTGCCAACTTTCCATCGATATAATAAATGCGAATGTCAGTGTGTCACACATTTTCAACTTTACTCTGAGAGGTCTTAGCCCAACATATCATACCATTTTGGAATCAAGCCAACTCCGTGAGCAAATTAAAAACATTCCGGCTCAGATCCGGATCCGCAATCCTGAAATTTTGGATTCCCAAGTTTTCATTACTGCGATTATTTTCGGCCATTTTGTATGTAAATTTTTGCGACAATTTTGTTGTACGATAACAGTTTTTATAAGTTGGAAATAAATTTGTTTATAATCGAAATTAATCGCGAAATACAGCGAGAGTCATCCATGAAATAAAAAAAAAGTAATTGTACGGAAAGTAAGTATATACATATATCATTTTTTTTTTTAAATTAAGTGGCGGCAGAAGAATTATTGTTGAACTTTTAAAAGTGAAGCTTAAATATTAACACTATACTAAAATGCCGCGATCACTTTCGAGTTCTTCTGTAGTTCATTGTTTCCTACTCCTCCCTACCTATTTTGATGAAGGCCGATAGGGTGGCTTTTAAGTTAGTTTATGAATAAATCTAAGGTATGGGCCGCAGAAACATATATATGTGTGACATCGTCCCCCGGTCGCAGCGCCAACTGTGACGTTCTATCCTGATCTACCACGGTGCCAGTTGTGACGTCCCCAAACAGAACCAATTGTGACGTCTTCGCCGCGGCACCAGCTGTTCGCTCCTCGCTGCTCCGTCCGGGTGTCGCTGCTCCAAACGTGACGTCCGCCTGTCGCGTCAGTCGTGTTGTCTCGTCCTGTGACGACCAACTGGCTTGGTATCGGTCGCGGCACCCAAATGTGACGTTCTAACCTTTTGGTGATTCGGGTGGGAATCTGGTTAGATTTGATATCAGCCTCGTCGCTCCCAACTCGCTTCCAACGCCTGGTTACCAAGGTAACTGCATTGATCTCCAGTCTGCCTACCCACGTTGTGAATTGATCTTAGACAGACGAGATCAAACAGTGGTTGGGGCCGTAATGCAAATTGAGTTCAACGGGGGTGATAACACACAATATGCATGAAAGAAAATAAAATGAAAACTCAAAAAGTTCAAAGTATCAAAGAAAAAGGTAACAAACTTTATGTCTAGTTGTTCGATACAAATAGACTGCATCTATCTCCCGACCCGTTCTGTGGATTGTAACACGTCGTTTTCGCTAGGCAAGTTTTAACGCTTCAAGTTGTTTGCTCTCTAAGAAATTTGTGTTTCGGTGTGTCTTTGGACGAAAGTCGAAAAAAAAACTTATTTCGGTGATCTGGTCCTAAGTCGCTCTTCAAAATAATTGTTCTTGGTTGAAGAGGAGTCCGGAATTTTTTATGAATCTTGGTCAGCTATCTCGAGGCGGCTTCAACTCTGGAAACTGGAGCTCGAACTCTCTGGACACTCATCTCTGCCGCCAGGGCCCGAACTGCTTTCTGCCTGTTGGGGCCTGGCTTTTATTGACGCCGACCAAAACCGTGGTGGGTCTGTTGGCGTCCGGGGGGTTCCTCGATAATTCTAAATACATATCCACCTCTTTTATTTCTGGTTAGGGATTTTCCACTCTTTTCCATTTTTGGGAACTTTTTCTCACTCCCACTTTCTCACCATACTTCTGAGGGGCGTGAACTGCCCTCCCCACTTCTTCGTAGCAGCTTCTCATACTTACACTCTGGATGGGGGCGTCGACAGCCTTCTTCGTGCGTCACGTGATCACTCTCGGCCAATGAGGTCTTGGTCGGGTATCTTTCCTCCTCCTTCGTGCGTCACGTGATCACCACTTGACCAATGATGTCTTAGTCGGGCGTAAACAATCCGCGGCTTTGTTTCAGAAAAAAAATACCTTGCTTAACTAAAAAAAATTAATTATCTCTTCTCTTTCCTTTTTCTTCCTTTCAAAATCGCCGTTATCATTTCTCTAGTCACGAACGGATAATATGACAACTCTTTGTTCAACACGAGGCGTTTGTCAGGTAGCTTATCGCTAATTCATCAAGATGGTTGGTTTTCCCGACATGGCCTCAGAAAAGAATTATTCCCAAAAATTTCAGTCAGTCTGTCGTCTCCAAGGAAGAAAGAAAATCATTTCTGGTTCCCATTTATTTTCCTTCGGTACATGTGTCTGATAACATAATTTTATTATCGCAGGGCAAAGTTGTTTTGTTGAAAGGAATTCGGTCAGCGCTCTGCTTGTGTGGGATTTAATTTTTCATATCTGTCCAAAGTCCATTTTAGTGGCCTGTTTCTCGTTACTTATCGAAATAGCATTTTCACTTGAATTTTTCCTGGGCCGGTGGTCCAGCCATTCGTTTACGTACTTAGATAACATAGCCGTTATCAAAACACATCTGGTTCCTTCTTTCTTTTCCTTTTCTTTTTTTTTTACTCAGAAATTCCCTGTCATTCTAATGACACACTTTTTCACTTGTTACTTATCAATATTTTCATTGTCTCTTAGGCCATGTGTGTGGCTGTTTTATCACCTATGATCCGTCTCGCATTTCTTTCTGCCTTCTTTTCTTTCTCTTTCTTTCTCTGCCTCGTAAATGGTGCCACATATGATTAAAATACTATCGCTTATACCTGATTAAATAATCATTTTATTATTTCACATATTAGATTAGTAAATATATACACAGATGGTACCACGGTTTAGGAGTGCACCTTCATAAATCTAGATGACCATACCCTGGATGCTGATCTCTCTTCAGATCAAGGTCTAACAGCTCATATGAAAGAAATTAGCTAGTAACATTCAATGGCTCAAATACCAAACTATTAACGTTTCAGTATCACCGAGCAGACCCTGAATTTATTAAAGCTCTAGTGAACGGTTATAGTCTTGACGAGGATAATTACTTTGAACGTCTATTTGGACTCACTTTACTCCAGACATCAAGTGGATCGCTTATACACGATCGATCGTTAACGTTGCTGGAAACACTGTTAGGTTCTTTATACCGATCCGGGCACCTCTTGCCAGGCCCTTTTTGACAAAAACTGGTCAATCCGAAATTGGAGTTTTGCTATCAAATATCAAATGGAGTTGTCCAATTCGAACATAGCATCTTTCACAAGGTTCAAAAACGTTTACCCGGCATTCGCGAATCCCGTAGCCCCTCAGGGTCGTAGTGGTGCCACATGTACTGCAGCTACAGTAGACGTGATGAAGCATTAATATTTAATCTTACCTTTTAAAAGTTCAATAATAATTACTTTCCGTACAAAAAATTAGTGACCCTCGCTGTTTTTTGCAATTAATATCTTGGGCAAAATAGCCAGTTTTCAATTCAAAATCACCTTCTCCTAGACCGATTGCCGCCCACGGCTATAGAACCCAGTCTGTCCTGGTATTTACCCATAGCTGGGGTATCTTGGGGTGGGGAAGTAGAGGGTTCATATCTTTCTCAACGGTATTAGAACGTAGGTGAATACA